GTATATAAGCATATGTTTTGTATGGAAGCGATGCGATTCTTGATAAGAAGAAATATAATAAAGTGTAGTTCCATCAGCGCTAACTCTTCTTCTATCTAAAATCGTCACAGTGTATAAATTATGTCTACATTGAATTGCCTAAATCTATAGGTATACTGTTGTCTGTCAGCTGTCCTTTGTGTCTGTCCTCTCTATGTATGCTAAATTAAAAACGACCAAATGTCCTTTTCTCTAAGCCAAGTGATGCGAAAATGACTAGTCATATTCAGATGATGAAACATGCCGCTGTGTACGGAAACCTGATTAAAGGTTGAGACTGGTGAAAATCGAAGCTGAAGAAGTCAGAGGCCAAATCTAATGACTTCAATCTGAGTGGATATTCTGCTATTTCGATCACGTTTCGATGATACTTCAGTATTCCGAGCCATACTTCAGACCGTCCTTCGATATTTTTGGAAACATTCCAATACTTTGAGCCGACTTCCAACGCTACGATACTCTTATAATACTCAGAATAGATTCGTAGTCTGCTATCTTCTCCTAAAGCTTTGTCTATATTTTTGTGTGAAACTCAACAAAAAAAAATCTTAAATGATTTGGTTCACGAATGTCATGTATAGGAGAAAAATTCACTATGATTTCGTGGTACATAGTTATATAGGTTTCTTATTACCGCATTTAGTATAATCAATACTGACGATTATTAAGAATATTATTTTTAAAGGATTCTCTTTCTTATTTGTAGATGATGCATACCATTTGTTCAACTGACAAGCAGAATAGAAACCTGAAGAACCACCATGGGCGTATACTGATGTTTAGTGGCATCCTTTTATTTTTATCAGGTTGTATTATAGCAGGACTTTTTACCAGCTCCGGCTTATTTAAAAATTATAAAGCTGGTGTTGGTGGACATGTTGAAGCACAATTAAATGGAATGTTTCTATTGTTAATTGGTGTTTCATGGGATCATCTATATTTAAATGATAGATGTAAATTAATTATATATGTATGCTTACAACTAACTGGATGGATTCACCCAATGACGTATTATTGGGTTGCATATACAGGGCGTCATTATCATATCTTACGACAAGCAACAATAGATGCAAAAACACTACCCTCTAATTTGGAAGAATTTCTATTTAATTTTGTATTAATTGGAATTGTTTCTGGCTCAATGATGGTAGCATTAATTTTATTGCTATGGGGACTTAGATTTGGCAATTCAAAAAGAGAAAATGAACTTGAAGTGAAAAACCAATAAATTATCACATCAGTATCTTTCTTTTTTATAAGTTTTGTGTATGAGCAGTTTTTTTAATATAAGAAAGGAAAAAAGATCAACTGATTATATTGATAAAAAATACATGCTTAATTCATGTATGAGTTAGCTCAGATCTCATACAATCACATGTCCTTTCTTTCCCCTCCTGCAAAAAAAAGACAAAAAAAACCGTGTAAACATCAAGATAAGTGATTGATTTTGGCTAACATTGTAACTTCTGATAGAGAAAAGCAAACAGATCACAGCAGTACCCGTGATAATGAACATTTTTCATTAGCCTCGGTTTTTTGGCCGTCGTATTCTAACAATCAGAAACATCAATTGTTATATAAACATAAGGTAAACATCTTAATGGAAAATCGCATCACCATCTTTACTTTTCATGTAATTTTAGAGAATTTTTTTCTAGTCACCTACGCAACCGTTCCAGAATTGCTATACAGTGCTTCGTACCATAGTTAATATGATACGCTGACAGTGTATTCACGTTTTTGTCGCGTCTTTTTTATGGAGTCAGTATCTTCCATTTAAAGTCATTGATGAAGGAAAATCAAGGTTTTCGCTTGTTGTACAGAAAAATATGAAAGTAGGTGTGAATAAGAAAAAAGGAGCTTAATATTCAGCCTTCCTCGTTTGATTCGAAGTTTTTTAATGGTTTATTAAAAGATAAATGAAGTGTTTTATTTTTGCAATACACAGATCTATTGGTTTTTATTAGAGATCATCAATAAGTTCTATTATTCTTTGTACATTGCATTATAGGTAAATATTTCATGATCATTCTGTCTATCGTGTATAGCTCAATATATTTAATTCTCTTGAACATACTGAACTGATTGATTGTACAAGAAACCATTTTAGTCTCTAAAAGTATTTTTAGTTATTTTAGATTTATCAACTTTTTCGATTCTATTCAAGATTCATTTAAAGCATTGTTTGTTATATGACATTTTATATGTGTGATCACTTATTTTACACTTATGAGTAGATTCAATCTTTTAAGAAAATTTCAAATCTAATGATAAAACAACATCGCCATTATTGATATTCTCAATTGTTTCTAACAAATTGATGAAAAATTGTTCCCTTTTTTTGTCTGAAGAAATTTGATATGATCGCAAGGGGAAAAGTATAGGTTTGGAACCTGCAGCACCTCAGCACCATCGAACATAATTTGGTAGTTGGAATCCGCACTTATTCTGTTGTATGATTCTTTTTTTGAATTTTCTCAATTATCAATATGATACATTTATTTTTTCCGAAATAACAATTTGAATTAATTGAAAAGAGAAGATACTTCTGAAAATATTTTATTTGATAATATTTTAGAATTTCATTTATATCTAAACGGTGAAGAAATAGATTAATAATTTTATATTTGGAAAATACGTCAATAGAAAGGATAAAAATGCTCCATTATGAATGAATTTTATTTTATTTAACCTATAAATCAGAAAAGTGAACGTTGTAAAAGTTTCTAAACAAAGTCTTATAATCAAATATAAATCAAAACAAAATAGAGAGTCTCCAGAATTCTGCTCAGATAATTTTTATTTTATTGTCCTTGAAATTAATGATTTGATCTATTATAACTTTTGTATTTCATGAACAAAGAAATTTGTTTTATCATAAACAAATGAATGTCATCAATATGAGAAAATTGAAAGATGTCATATCGTTAATGCATATGTCATTCTTAAGAGGCGTTATGTATGTTTTTTTTTCTGGTTAGTTATGTTTCATTTAGATTCTTCTATCACAATGTTTATTATCAAGGAGAACAAAGCTTTGCTTTGGGATGTTGTCACTGAATTATCTTGTTGCACTTTCCTCGTTTATGTGAATGTAAGTATCTATTGGGTACAGCCGGTCAACTCTCTTGTAGAATATTTAGAATTGTATGAACGTGTAATATGAGAAACGTTTTTCGACACTCAACAATTGCAATTTACTATTTGATTCTGTAATGTCTGTATGAATACCCGTCTGTATAGCGCATTTCATGCCTTCAACTCTAAGAGATCGTTTCGGTAGTTTAGTGATAGTGGACGAAATAGTATGGTGAATGGTGAATAGTTGTTGTGAATGTATTTGAAAATTTAGTTACGTTTTTGGGAGTGCTGTAGACGGAAGGCTGGAGGGAGAATATTTCATTCGTTTGTTATTGCCGATCATATTAATGATTCAATCAATGTACGTGTGTGACATGTTTGTCCAATGTTCTTTTCTCAATCATCTTTTCATGATCGAGATAACATGTTATGAAATTGCGGCTATTCAGTAGATTATTGTGTTTGCTCTAGATATTGCCAGAGTAATTGAGGGTGTGAATGTGGGTGTTAGCAGTGCCTTGTCTCACACTCACAGTTAACTTAATCAATAAATGCAATGTATTGTTGCGTTATTTCAATATTCTTGGAGACCTTTCCACAAGGAAAGTTGTGTCTGGTTCAATTTCTATACAAATTTTGATAGAAGTGGTCGATCTAAGTATTTTTTCTAATCACTTAAACCTTCTAAACGAAATACTGTGAAAATATTATGGCATCAACCTTTGGTCTTTTTGCTTTAGTTGCTCATTGTCTTCATTTACAACTCTACTGTAAAGTGCTTTTGCACTCTGAAAGAGCCTAGCACTGGATGCGATGCCGGGACGACGTTCCTTAAAATCCAGGAGTCACCTTGTCTCACCATCGGGCTAGTCACTCGTTTGTAGGACCATAAAGTTCTCTGATTACAGACACAGATCAAACAGCGGTTGCTAATACAACAAAAATAATATGTTTTGGATCATGAAATATCAGATCGTGTTACTGTATCACTAAATGTGAACTAATTATTCGACAGTAACAACGATATCAAATTGAGATTGCAGCACTAGCTGAGACCAATGTACTAGATTCTGATGTCTATGTAGCGAATGGTTACACATTCATTGATTCCGTAATACCGACTAAAGAATGTTCGAGGGCTGTTCAGGGCACTGCTATGGGCATAGGCTCGAGAGCAACTCATGCTTGAAAGAATTCTGGTTTTATTTGTGGAGCGGTTAACGCAAGAATAGTAGAGATTCGAATTGCACGTCGACCTGTATCAATTTCTATCATAGCTGTCTATGCATCTGTAAATTCTTCGAATGATCTAAAAACCACCATTGAAGCCTGCGACAAATTTTATAAAACTCTTCAATCTTCTATCGATAAAACTGCTAAAGGCGATATCATCTTAATAATGGGAGATTTCAACGCTCGCTTTGGACTAGAACAGATCAGTTCAGCTCGAAGTAGTGTTGGTAAACATACAGTAGACAAACAAAATCAAAGTGGTCGATGTCTAGTTGACTTCTGTTTGTTCAATGAATTCATAGTCGCCAACACTTTCTTTCCACATAAACTGGTACACCAAACAACATAGATGCACCCAAAACTAAACAATGGCACATGCTAGATTATGTACTTGTCAATCGAAAATTTCGAACTAGTGCGCACGATGTACGAACCTATCGAGATACAGCTGACGGTATCGAAACGGATCATCATATTTTACGCGCTAAAGTTCGCATACATTTAAAATTCCGTTAAAAAAATGTCAAATACAGGCGACTAAGGCTGGATCATGCAAAGTTGAGCGACGAAAATGTGTTAGTTACTTTTCAGGTGGAATTAACAAATCATCGTGAAAATACAAAAAAGGCAAATAAGAAGTTATCTGTGAACGAGAAGTTTACAAAGTTCGCTGATTACGTAAGGGAACATGGCAAGACCTATTTTGAAAAAGATCAGGATTGCCAAAATAACAACACTAAAGAATGTTTTACATCAGACATAATGGATATCGTGGATAAGAAAGCCAAAACTTACGTACAATGGCAACTTCATCTTGATATGAAAGAAGAGAATAAGCACAAAAACTAATATCGAACGTTGACCAAGCTAGTTAAGAACAAGGTAGAAGCTAGGCAGAGCGAATATTGGGAGGAATTAAGTGTTGATATCGAAAATGCACTGAAAAACCACGAACCAGCAACTACATTTCAAATCATACGACGCTTACGTGGTAATGATGTGATTATGGAACATATAGCGATTCATGACAAAGATGGAAATTGGTTAAACAGGTGGAGAGAATATTTTGATGAAATGTTCAATGTAAAAACAATAGTTGATAAACAAATATTAAAACAGATTCCGAGTCCTTGCATTGATCAAAAAAAACTATGTCGTCAGGATGCTGTACCGACTATTGGTAAGGTTTTGAAAGCAGTTCAACAGATGAAAAATAGAAGAACTACGAGAAAATATGAGGTGTTTGGAGAGCTTCCGAAAGCAGATGACCTACCTCTAACTCAATGGTTACATGAGATCATCTATGATGTTTGGGAACAGGAGATTATGATATAGGATTGGACTATGTATGTTCTGATACGATTGTATAAGAATAAGGGTGACAAACGGATCTACGATAACCATCGTGGTATATCTTTGATTGTTGTGGCAGGAAAAGTTTTTACTCGAATCCTGTTAAATCGTATTCAGGGCATTCTAAACAGCAACTTACTAGAAGAACAAGCAGGCTTTCATTTTTGCAGATCCACAATGGAACAAATATTTACGCTGAAAATGGTCATTGAACGTCAAGAGCATTCAATCATCCAATGCATATGTATTTTGTAGATCTTCAAAAGGTCTAGGATTCAATTAATCGTGAAGCGCTATGGCGTATATGTCGTGCATACAGATTATCTAATAAAACAATCAGAACGATCAAACTGTTGTATGAAGGCACAATAGCCGAAGTGTGAGCAGATGAAAACTCTAGCACAAGTATCCAAATAAAAACTGGAGTGAAACAGGATTGTCTTCTATCTCCAATTTTGTCTTACATATACATTGATTATGTTCTGCAACAAATTCTTAAACAAATAGAAGTTGAAAGTATCACTCTAACATACCGCCTGGAAGATGTATGGTATTCAGATTGTGGAAACGATAACAATGTGAATGTGCTGACACTTATGTATGCAGGCGATATAGTTGTTATGTGCCAAAATGCATAGGATCTAGAACAATTTATAAAAGTATTTGAAAAAGTTACACAATATTTCGGTTTAACCGTGAACATCAACAAGACATGCATTATGTCCTTGAGACAATTTCAAAAGTACAGCATGCAAGACCAAAAACAAAAAAGAGATTGCCGATGTTCCTTTCAACATCATCATACGCAGTCAGAAAATAGAAAAGGTAGACAATTTCAACTACCTTGGATGCCACATATCGAGAGATCAAATATATCGTAAGGAAATCGAAACTCGTGTGAGCAAAGCATCAAATGCATTCAATAAACTTCGATCCATTGTCTGGTATCGTAAATGCATATCGATTCAAGCAAAAATCAGAATCTTTAAAGCATGCGCCCTATCGGTACTTCTGTACGGTAGCGAACTGTGACGTCTAACAGCTGCTGAAGAGCAACGCTTGAATACATTCTATATGAAGTGTCAGAGAACATTAATTGGTATTTCTATTGGTAATCAAATGAGAATTGACCTTGTTCTTCAGTTAACTTGTCAGCCATCGTTGGAAAATATTTTGAGAAGGAACAGATTACATTGGTTTGGGGATGTTAATCGAATGGATAATGACCAATGTTTTCCAGTGTTGTCGAAAAAGATTCTTTTCGCTTCGTTCAAAGAAGCTAAGAGACCACGACATGGTGCAGTTCAACACTACATATTGTAAGAGAATATAAAGAAAGAGCAGCCAAACGAAGAGCTGACAAAGCATCATCCCAGCTATCTAAGTAAAATGGAGTTATGCTTTCTTCACTTCTCTCTTCGACGACAGCCAATGACACCACATGTGCGCTTTGTGAAAAGATCTGTAAAAACAGACGCGATTTAAATGTATATCGGCGATTTTGTCTAAATAAAACAGTTACTGATACGCATGATTATGTTATACGAAAAGTAAAAATAATTGAACTGATACTAAAAAGTAATAAGAATGAATATATATGTCCAAAAGAAAATTGTAGCTGAAAAATCTGGACATTTGAATTTAGTGACTAGGGTCTGTGTATGATTAGCTGTGAAGTATGACGACGGTTACTGGAACCAGATCTACGCATGATCTGGAGGTAATAGTCTGATGGATAGTGCAGTAACTCATTTACAGATGGTAACTGTCCGACAAACATGATTCAATCGCGAATAGTTTATGTGTATGTGCAGTCCAAAATGTTTGGTTTATGTAGTTATTATGTTTTTTGTTTTTGTTTTTTTGTTTTTCGTATTTTTTGTATTTTTGTTTTTCGTTTTTTGATGTTTTTGTTTTTCGTGTTTTTTGTTTTTTTGTATGTCTCTATTTCACTTTCGACAACCATATTTGTCCTTCGCCTAATCCGAATTACCGGTATTAGTGTTTCTTCTTCTTCATTTACGCTCTAACACCTTGTTCATCTACACGATGAAAATATAATGAGATCGTTTATATTATAATCAGAACACGATATGTCGATCTATCTTCGTCCACTATATTAAATACGAGTGTATGACTGTATGAAAATTAGAGAATCGATAACGATGGGATGAAATGAACACTCATTCTGATGTCTTCATACTCACCCATTAAACAAATATGAAATCAGTCAATCCTTTCAGATTTAGTAGTATTTCTTCAACAGCTGTGCTACTTGCGCTGTTCACTACATTCGTACTTCTTTTTTTTTACGTGATTATTCGCATTCTATCCACTATTTCTCCGTCGTCGAAAATGCTGGGCTTAATCATTTTTACTAAATGTCTCTTAAACAATTATTGTATCGCAGTTGTTGAGATAGTTTCTTTGTTTTCTTCGCTTACAGGAAATGGACACTAAGGAATCTGTGCCATACTTATTCTTAGAACACTTTAAAACACTGTAATAATCCTTTCAGAAGCATGCCAAATTAAATCGATTTCATTCAAATACGATCACTATTTCTGAACTAGCAGAACTTATATCCTGATCTCAAAAGACATCTTCAAAAAATTTTAAACTAAGAACGTAATAATTTTCAACTATCATTTTCCAGAGTACTCCCAGTCAAAATCTGGTCTATAGGGTTTCTCTATATTTCAAATGATAGAAAGCTGAAACTTTTAGAATGGATACAAGTCTATGAAACAATCATTTTATAGTCTGATCATTTTTTTCTCCGACAAAGTCAACTTGGTTAAAATTTCGGGAGCTTAAAATTTCTTTCATCATAAATAAGATTTACTCATCAATTTTATATGCATTAGAATCATCTTTAAACGTACTAACAAGTTATGAAATTTTGGAAAATTAAAAATGAAAGTCTATAGATAAGTAAAAAGATCGAGAGGGAATTTCAATCTTTTTCTAAACGTTTAGCCTGTCTTCTGAGACAATCAATGACTCTGGTTAGCGAGAAAAAATCTTACGTTTGATATTTCATTGACATAAACTATAATAAAAACATATTTACTTCAATGGCCAACAAGTTTGAAAATTCTTAGAATCCCAACAGAAACCAATATGAAAATCCGATGATCTTAAAAGTTCTTGTACAATGAGGAAATAATTTGCTTTTTGTTAGTTCGGCTTAAATATAAGATTATGATTCTATATTGTTCTTGTCACCAGATTCGTTGATTTTCTCTTAAGATAGTCTAAAAGTTTAGGGAAAAATTGAAATTCCCTCTCAAACTTTTTTTACTTATCTGTAGACTTTCATCTTTAATATTCCAAAATTTCATAACTGAATAGTACGCTTAAAGATGATTCTAACGCTTATAAAATTGATGAGTAAATCTGATTCATGATCAGAGAAATTTTAAGCTTCTGAAATCTCGACAAAATTGACTTTTCTAGAATCATTCGAATGAAACCAATACAATTGTGGTATGTTTTCGAAAGAATCATCCATTGGCTGATTCATTCAGTAGACATCTATTATTACAGCAATCCTTATTATATGTTCACATAACTTGATAGCAAGAAGCTGATTCAAATATTGCAGTTCTATGAAGATCAAAACAATTCTTTTAGCACCGTGAAATGTTTACATTAACTACAAGATGAGTACCATGACACAGCGATGAAGACACCGTTTATATTATGTAGAATGAATATCTGGAAATCTTGTAGTATTTCGGTTTCGAATTTCTTCTTTCTTGTTTTTATTTTCTTTTTCTCGTATTTATCATTTTCTCTTTTTTTTCTCATCGTTGTTTTTTTATATATTTGCTCTATTCCCTTTTAGGACAGACAGAATCACAAACTTAAATAATGTAATATTTAAAAAAGTAGACTGTTCTTGAAAAACTGTTTATTACAATATGATTCTGGTGGTATAAAATTCACTATGTTAAGTTAGAAAATAGAGATCTTGGTCTATAGTTTACTGTTGCAGAACTATATAAAGCATTATTAAATTGTTGTTGCCGATTGACTTGTTCATCGAATGAATACCGAAATTGCCATGATTTTGAAAATGGATCTCTATCAACAATAGTCATACCACAATAATTAACTTGACCTGCAAGATCGAAAAGTTGTGCAGGTCTCGGTTGTTCATCCATTAAATGACGTGTAAGTACTTCAAGACTCGGTGCATGTGCAACAATTAAAATTGTACCACCTCTTTTTTTATACAATTTAATTAATTTTTTCATTGTCTCTTTTGAACGTTTATAATATTCATATTCATTTTCTAATGGTGGAAGATTGTCCAAATGTGAACGATACTGTGTATCAATATTAAAACCACTATTGATCAATTCCATATAAGACATAAAATTAATTGGTAATTGAGCGTACCAAGATGAACATTCAAATAGACCAAGTTCAAGTCGTATTGGAATATGCACTGTATCATTAAAATAGATTTTAATCGACTTGAAAAAAAAAAGTATTGCTTACTTTTTTGACCCAAGCCTCCAAGAATCTGATCAGCTGTTTGAATACTACGAATAGCAGGTGACGAATAACAAGCTATTATCGGTATATTTTGTTGAGCAAGAATATTGCCAACATTCCATGATTGTTGTAAACCATTAAGAGTCAATGGTGTATCTAACTCATACTCTAGCCAATTTATTCGAGAAGGTAATGTTGGCGGCATATTTGCATCGAATGCATAATATTGACCAGCAGGATTAAATGCCTGTCGTGTCCAGCCAAGACCATATGTATTATCAACACGTTCTCCATGACGAATTATAATAAATCGAAGACATGCATCATTTCTGTTACTAGTAGAACTATAGTAGCCAGATTCATCGGATGTTAGATAATCATTAGTATACATCGATAATTGATGCTGATGAGACTGTAATGGATGAAATTAATCACTAAATCTCGAGAACAGTTTTTTATACTGAAAATGATATTAAAAAAAAACAAATTGTTCGATAGATATCATATCGAAAAAAAGATTTCATTATGAGAAAAGAGTTAGATGACATATCTTTAAAAAAAATTTAGAAATAAATATTATCCATATAAATTGTATGTTACCTTATATAAAAGGCACATGTCTATCATATAGTTACTATGAAAAGTAACTAATATACAGTCACTTGATTTTTGTCTTTTTTTTCCTTTTACTTTACTTGAGCATAAAGAACAGAAAATGACAACGAGCCATAATAGGGACAAGCAATCTTTAGGTGGGCGTCTCATGTGTCAAAACACCACAAGCACACGCGAACAAACACACACCCACATATATATATATACATATATATATATATATATATATATGAATATTGAGGACGACAATAATATGGATGACTGATTTACGTTAATAGTCATTCTATTGATAAGTAAATAGAAAAAGGAAAAACAAAATCGTAGATCGAAAAGGCACTTTTACTAAAAGAAAAATCGAATATATTTGTCATAGTTTGATTAAATGAAATGATTTTATTTTCACTAGTAATCAAGGAGTATTTCTAGTTGATTTTCAGAATAGAAGCAATGAAAAAAAACCTATTTGAAAATATTACTATGGATTTCAATAAATAAAATTTTAGTTTCTTAAAAATAACAAAAAATAAGGTAGAATGAATAAAATTAATTTTACTAAATATATTATTAATCATTAAATTAATCTTTTGACTTATACTTACTGAAAATCAATTTTGCTTGTATTTTACATTAATAATATAAATACAAATGAATATTATTCAATTATCTTCTTGATACAGTGATTTATTCATTCTGAGTTACTGTTTTTGTTTTTGATTTGTACGAAGATACAATCATCTTTATTCTAGTCATTAGTAATAATACTTTAAAATAATTTTACTAGCGTTACGCTTCTGAATTCCAATTCACTTGTAGAATTATAGTCTACATATTTCATTTATCAATTTCCTATACTTCTGAAATAAATTCCAAGATGAATTGTATCTATTCGTGAGTATAAGAATATCTTCATGAGTGTATGAATATATCATAATAATAAATATTTTCAAGAGACTAGCATTTGCTAATGATGATAAAATCAAAGAGAAATATATACAGACTGTAGCAAATACATACGTCCATTTAGATGAATCTGTCAATAGAAAAGGAAGAAAAACAAACAAACAAACAAACAAACAAACAAAAAATAATCTGATCAATGATGAGATCATATCTGACAAATAAAATACAAGGATAACAATAAAAAAAGACTGCATATATTATCAAAATTTATTATGAGAAATAAGACGTCGATGGCAACATCCTTGACAAAGTAATGTATCATCTAATGGATAACAACGACGATCTTGCTCATCGCCCAGTTGCATCGAACAATCCTAAATAGATTTTCTTATCTTTGAAATTCAAGTTATATATATATTTACTTCACATTGATAGCATTGAATATGAAAAGTTTTACCCATTGAAATAATTCGCACAGTTTCATTTGAGTCCTAAATAATTTCAATTAAATAAATCTATATATATATATATATTCAAATTTATCTTACATCTTCAGGACAAATTGGTTTCGAACATTTATCACAACGTGGTCCATAAGTTCTTAAACAAGAAAAATAAATGATTTGTTTTTATCTTCATTTATATAAATAATTTCTTACATATGATAATCATGTAAACAAAAAAGCTTTCGATTTTCATCTTTCACAAATGGTACACCATCCAAACAAATCGAACATTTTGAACATTTAAAACATGTTACATGATACGATTGTCCACATTCTTGTACAATCTAAGATTAATTGGTTTCAAAAATATGAATAATGACATAAATTCAAATAAATATAGCATACTGTATCAGTAATTAAATGACCACAAGCAACACAATGTTCAAGTGTTTCATAAAAACCAGTATACTAAAATAAGATAAATTATTTTTTTGTTTTTGTATGAAAATAAATCTTTACCAAAAAATCTTCTTCACAATATAATTGATCTTGAACAAAATAAAAATGTTTATTTTTTACAGATCGTCTACATAAAACACAAACAGCACAAGAACTATGATAAATTTGACCAAGTATATCACATGGATCATCTAAATTTGTTATTGTCTCACCACATTTACAACATACACCTAATGAAAAAAAAAACATAAAACAAATTATTGTTTTATCTTTATGGATCAATGAAAAACAAAAGATTATTTATTGCTACGATGTGCTTAATTTCTTACCGAAATATTCTCCGACAGTTGATTCATTTGTTGTTTCTTGAATAAGATGATTATTATCAATTGACAATGATTTAAATTGATTTTCAAGTAAATGATTATCATTAAAATCATTTTGTTTTACTATTGATGGTATAACAGGTGATCGATAAATTATTTTTGGTGATATAGATGAATTAAAATCAGGAATAGTTATTGAATTTTTTTGATTATAAGTTGATAAATTTCGTGGTGGAATAGCAGGAGGTTGAAGAGGACAACGTGGTGGTGGAGGTGGTGGATCATCTCGTAATGATGGTTGAGTTATATAAACTTGAGTTGTATTTAAATAAGTGGTACTTGTCTTCATTCCGTTCGGTGAATATTGAGGTGAAACATTTGTACGACGAATATAATTATTATTTGCTGTTGATGTTATACGTGATATACGATTAGATGGTGGTAGTTTTGTATCAGAACTATGATCTTCTGATGAAAATTTAAAATAATCATCTAAATTTGTAAAAAATATATAAAAAAAACATATTACATATTAGTCATTCTCTACTGAAATTTGAAGATAGAAAAGAATGTAAATAGATTGGATTATTTTACCTGCTAATGTTTGTTGTCTTTGATGATAAGTTGAATCATTCGATGTTGATGGTGAATGAAATAATGGTTTGAAATTTTGTTGATTACTTAAAGGTTTATTCAAACTACTATTTTCATAGGATAGTAGAGGATCATTCAGCCTTGATGTTGATTGTCGTGATGATGATGATAATGGTGGAACAGCAGAATAAAATGTTTGCTGTTTATCAGAAACGAAATTTCGATTGTCAAAGGTGTGTGCCATCTAAAAGAATGTAATAGTATGTGTATGTGTGTATGCATGTGTGTGTTCTTTTTTTCATCTTCTATTACCACATATGCAAACACGTATTTTACCTGTATACAAAACAAAGAAAGAAGAAAAAGAAAGAAAAAAAAAATTGTTTTTGTTGAAAATATTTGGCACACACACACACAAAAAAGAAAAAGGCAACGATTTTCGTTTAAATAAATCAATGAAATGAATTAAATCGATAAAACGGAATGTAAATTAAATATATTTGCTCGTTCTTCAATCGATAGATGAGTTGAAATTAGAATGTTTTTTTTTCTTCTTTTTCTTTGAACTCGTTTTTTTTTCTTTCCACACGCTGTTTAATCGTAAAATGCCAAACGAAACGCATGACCATAAAATGAAAGAACGTAAAGACAGATTTTTTTTTCCTTTTCACACAAGCACTCTTCAGCAGTGATATCAAACTGTGCGTATGTTGAGATAGAAGTAGACTAAATATGATCGACTTGAATTTCAAATTTTACACTTATATTTATTTAAATAGAATAAGAAAAATGTCAAATAGATGAATCATGTTAGATGATATTATCTAATATGATGGAATGTATTATATGATTTTCATTTATTACTATAAATTATTAACCTTTTCTACAAATGATTAGTCATGTGATAGATTATAGAAAAGAAATAATATTCTTAAAAATATACCTTTATGAGAATTCAATAAGAAGGATAATCAAAATAGATATTTTAATTATTAAAAACAACGACTGTAAATGATTGTCCAAGAATTAGGTTATTCATTTTTGAATACTTTTTTTTGTCACAAAAATGAAATTTTGCGAAAAATTTCGAAATAGCTGAATTTTCTTATGGTTCGTATAAACACAATACTATTTTGTTCATTTTTATCGAAATTAAGAAACATTCTTGATGATGAATTAGATAACTATTATGATCTTTATTATCATATCCTGTATAGATATATAAGATTGGCATGGTGTAAAATGATAGGCTTTTTTGTAGTAAAATATCTTTTCATTTTATAAATTCTAATTTAATCATAGAAGTGTTTCGAAGTAAATATGTTGAAACTTTCAGTTTCTTTTAAAAATAGATGGTGCTCTTTGTCTGTAATACTACCATATAAGTTGAAGAAATCAAGTATATATTTATTCTATATCAGTTATCATGTATTTCAAACTATGTGGCAATGTTGCCTAAGTCGTTTTTTTCTTATCTTCCATATTAATAGGTGTTTAACACCACGTGTGAAGTTGCCCAATATTGATATAAGTAACGTAGTTACTCATGCGATGATTCATTAAGCTCTATTCACAATACATAAATATAATGGAGATAGTCATAAACACCTTGCATTTTTTCTACTAATAAGAAAACAAATCAATGGCCACAATTACCTTTGTTGTAGCTAAAGTCGATATATGTACGAAAAAACATACTACATCTGAAGATTTAACTGAAGCAGATTTGGCTCGATGGGCAGCAAAAAATCAAAAGTTATCACTTGAAAATTTTCAAACCAATTATCCATTAGCTGATGATCTTAATGGAAATAATCGTCGAATTAAAAATGCTTTTATTGCACCTGCATTCAAAGCTTATTGCGAACATTATCCACTTGAATTGAGTGTTGAAGATATTTGGGTTGCTATTGCACAAGGTATCAGTATTCATCTCAATGAAAATGCTGAAAAATATCGAGAATTAATGGTATCACATGAAGGAAAAAAAACGTTGACTCTTCCAGTAGATAGTCTTCGAATACCAGATTCTGCTCGACCAAAAACTGAAAATACATCTGTACCTGCTATTAATTGGCCAGTAGCTGTTCGACAAATGGGTGAATTGATTAGACTTGATATGAAAACAGATTTAGCTACACTTTTGACGACTTCTTTTTCGAGTACAACACCAGTCGAACAAGCTGTTTTTGATTGTACATTAATGGATAGTGTTAAATCTTATTATGATTTTCGATTTAGTCTATGCTGTGGTCTTCCACAAGTAACATTACGTGGTTCACCAGAAGATTTTCAACAAGTTATTAATCGAATTAATCAACTTCGAACTATCTTTATGGATTTTCATTGGTGGTTAGATGCACTTATACCTCATTTGCAACAATTGAAAGCAAGTGCTGAAGGAAAACCTGATATTGATTGGTGGCAAAAGATTTGTCATAGTGTTGGAGGTGGATCTGATATAAGTATGTTAGCTGGATGGCTTGCTGATTTTGTTCCGTAAGTTCACAGCATTATAAAAAATAACTTTTTATATTCATTCTTTTTATTTTTGCAGATACATTTCAGATGGAAAAGGTCATTATAAAAAAGCTCGACGTGATCATCATCATTATACACAAGTATGTATATATATATGTAATTGTTTATTATTAAATAATAACTTTGTTTTATTTATTTCAAGGGTTTAATCAATGGTATTGAATTTGGTGATTTAAGTGAAAGTGTTACTCAAACAGATTTTATTTTGGATGATAATGGACATGAAATTAACATGAAATTAATTGCTGGATTTTTAGGTATAGGTCAAAATGCTAAAACAAGTGCACTTCGTCCATGTCTTGGTTGGATAACAGCATTACCAAAATAGAATGAAGCTGTTGATGACTTTCAATATAAATCATTTATTTAAAAAAAAACATAAGATATTTGCTATCATTTTTATTTCGTAAATGTACTTCTCTAAACTACATATTATTCATAAAAATACATTATTTTTAATCTTTTATTGTTTGTTCAAATATTGCTTTACCAATATCTTCAGGATTAAATAATTCTGTACGCATTTCTCTTCCATTACCCCAATCATAAAAATTTGGTGCAATCAGTTGTAAATGATGATCATCACCAATTGATGGTGATCGTCGATGATAATTGCCATAAATACGAACAGTGGTTTGTGGACCAAGTTCATAAACAGGAAATGTATAATCAATACGACGACCATCAACTGTTCGTTCAATATACCATCCAGTTAAATCTCGTGGTTGATTACCTGTATTTTCTATTTCAACAAAACGACCACTGACATCAACAAATTTAATAAGAATATTTCCTAAAGAAAAAATTTAAAAAAAAGAGAAATTATCAAAAAAAAAAGATTTTTTTGTTTTGTTTTTCTTTAACCTTTATATTTTCGTGTAATATGAACTCTACTTTGTAAAAATTTTTCATCAACTTCTGGTATAGTAGAAGTTACTTCTTGTTCTCTTCGATTTATATTAATGCCTGTTGATTGTTGTCCAGCAGAACTATGACCAAAACGTCGTGTTGTTCGTGTCGTTGTTGTTGTTGTTCGATTTTGATCAAGTAAATTTTGTTGTATATCGTATCGCTCAGCATCTGTTCGAGCTGGAATAATTGTTCTTTCAGTTGATCGATCACGATCAGTACTTTCACTACGTATTGATGGTGTAGTACCTGATGAAACAGTTTCATAAGTCCAATTACTACTTGGTTTTTCTGCCTACAAATAAAAGTAAAAAATAAAAATAAAAATTTTATTTTTGTTCTAATTTCACTTCATCTATTCGAAAAACTGGGATCGTATTATCACTTTGTTGTTTTATTGTTTTGGTTGTTGTTGTTGTTGTATCTGTTAATACTGACGGTGGTAGTCGATATTTTGTTGAATCATCAATATTTGTTTGCGTTGTAAATTTTCTTGTTATATCAGATATATCAGATTGTGATCGTGGAAATCCTGCTGATTCTCCTCCGCTACTCATTGTATCAAAAAATCGTTTTGACGTTGTTGTTGTTGTTATTGCTTGACGATATTTTGAATCATCAATAGCTGGACGCTCTTCTTTTTTTCTATGTAATGAATTTAATAAAGCTTCATAAATTTTTAATTCTTCTTCAACACTAAATCGAAGTGTATAAGCTAATTTATCTAATTCATCTTTTAATGTATAATATTCTGTACGTGTTAAATCAGCATCATGTTCAAGACGAGAATGTTGTTCAGCATGTTTTCGTGCTTTATTTCTTAATTCATTTTCGAAATCTTGTAATATTCGGCGTTTATGTTGAACTTCTTCAGCTAAAATTCGATAATCATTGTGTAGTCGATCATGTTCTTTTGTACTTTCATCAAGACGACTTTCAAAACGCTGAGTTTCTTCACGACGTCGTCGTTCATCTAGCAACAAAAAAATAAAATAAAATATTAAATAATAAGAAAGAAAAATATTATTTAACCATTTTCATCAATAGGTAAACCCATATCAATTTTCTCTTGAATTTCTGTTAATCTTGATTTTAATTGTATTTCAACCTCCATTTGTTGTTCTTTTGCCATTTGTTCATAATCAATTTGTATTTTTTGTTTAATTGTATCTAAATAATCTCGATAATAATTTTTTGATTCTTGTGATATACGATTTAATAAACGTTGCCATTCATTAATTTCTTCTTGATTATAAGCTAAACGTAAATTATAATGTTCTCTAAGTGTTTGAATTTCATTTAATAAATTTTGTTTATCTAATGCAAGTTGTGACCATTCAGATAAATATGAACGAAATTTTTCTAATTCTTTTCGATAATCATCATCATGAGATTTAACTTGAGCATTACTTATATCAAGGCGTAAACGAATTTTACGTAATTCTTCTTCTAATTCATTTGCTAAATCGAAAAGTATTTGAGATTTATCTCGATATAAATTAAGTACATCAATAAAAACGGCTGTAACACGATCTATTAATTGAGTTTGCTCATCAAAAATTTTAGCTTCAGCATGAAATGTTATTTTATGACGGTTTTGTTCACCTAAACGTCGTATTATTTCATCAAGTTCTTGTAAAAATCGTACACGATTTTCTCCACCAATACCCCAATTTGTTATTAATAAATTAAGATCGTCACGTAATTTTTTATTTGCTATTTCAAGATCATTTAAATCATTAAGTAATTCTTCAAGACGATTATTTAATGAATGAAGATAATGTTTTTCATCTTCATCTTGTTGTTTTATAGCTGCTACATCATTAAGAATTTGTCCTACTGATTGTACATCATCATGAATTTGACGACTTGTTCCAGCACGAGTTGATAGTTCAGTTGTATAACGTTGAATCAACGCCATAGTCAATTGATCATACTTATTCAATATACATTCATCTCATTTTCTTTGAAAATGTATTTATAGTCTCATAATACAATTCACAACCGCAATACTAATCATAGTCAATATCAACTCCTCAATCAAATCTACATTTGTCATTCATTGATTTTTAATCATGTTTCTTTTTGTAGACTCCTTTGCAATCATGAAAAAAAAGCTAACCTAGTCATCATTCATAATCTTCATGGTCATGTCCTTGAATTGTGTGATTTTTCTTAAGAATAGTAAAGAATATGTGTGAATAGATTTTTTTTCCTAGGGAAAAGAAAATGTCGGTAACAATGACAATAGTAAATAAAAAAATTCAACAACAAGTGATAACAAGATGGCATGCAAAAAGAAAATGTCACACATTTTGTTCGTTTTCTTTTTATTCATTCTTTTAATTTTTTGTTTTAATCAATCGTTGTTTACATGCATTCATCACCGTGTCCACCTTTTTTTTCTTCTTTATCAAGTTTAATCATATCATCAATACGTAAAATAGTTATAGCTGCTTCAGTTGCATATTTTAATGATTTTATTTTTGATATAGCCGGTTCAAATACTCCACTTGATTTGGAATCACGAACTTTTCCAGTTTGAAGATCTAAACCAAACCATTTAAGTTGTTCTTTATCCTTTTGTGTTTGTGATGCATTATGATAAGCACGAAGTTTAGCTACAAGTTCTGTTGCATCTTGTGCAGCATTAACACTTAATGCTTTTGGAATTGATAAAAGTGCTGATGCAAATTCAGCAATAGCTAATTGTTCTCGTGAACTCTAGAAAAATACAATATTTTTTTCTTTTATATGGAAATATTAAACTAAATACATACAACTGTTGTAGCAAAATTTTCTAAATAAATTGATAATGCTGTTTCACAACAACCACCACCTGGTACAACTTGTTTTGATTCAAGTACACGTTTAACAACACATAATGCATCATGTACAGAACGTTCAATTTCATCACACATAAAATCATTTGCACCACGTATTATTATTGATGCAGCTGTACGTGCTTTTGGTCCTCGAATAAGAATAAGTTCATCATCACAAATACGTTCTTGAACAACCTCATCAGCACTACCAATAACTGATGCATCAACTGATTCTTCACCTTCCATATTGGCTAAAGCGGTTAATAATGTTGCTTAAAAAAAAACAAAGAAATCAAATTATAAATAATATAAATTTCTATTATTTTATTTACCTCCTGTTGCTTTAGCAATACGTTTTAAATCAGCTTTTTTACAACGTCTAACAGCCATAGCTCCAGCTTCAACAAATTGTTTTAAACAAAGATCATCAATACCACCTGTTGTTAATATAACATTTGCTCCAGCATTAAGTAATTTTGCAACACGTTCTTTAGCAATATCAGTTTCTCTAAAAAAAAAAGATATTGTATATTATTTTTACAATCATATGAAGAAGAAAAAAAAAACAAATATTCAAACCGTCTTCGAATAGCTTCAAGTTTTTCAGGATCTTCAACAACAATTTGAACACCTAATTTCATTCGTACTTTTTGTAAACTAAAATCCAAACATGCTATTTTAGCATTTGTTATTCGTTTTGTCATTAATTGTGAAGCAACTGTACAATTTAATGCATAGCCTGATATTAAAATACTTTCACGTGTTGATCGACCATGAGCTTTTAATACATTTACAGATTTTATTGGTACTACTATTTTATCTTTTTCATTAAATTTAACAAGATTTGCTGCATCAACACACAGCTTAGCAAAAAAATCTGCATCCCTAAAAAAACAAAAATTTTTATTAATGAAATAAAAAAGAAATCAAACCACATACATTCCAATAACTTTACTAGCCATCGATGTTTTAGCAACATTAATTAAACATTCACTACCTAATTCATCAACATTAATAACCATTTTATCGTGAATATATTTTACTGCTAATCTAAAAACAAAAGTAAACCATTGATGTTCGTAAATAAATAAAAATAATATAAAGAATTTCTTACTTGCAAGCAAGTTTATAACCACTAATAACTGATGTTGGATGAATTTTTTGTTTAACAAGTTGATCAGCATTTTTTAATAATTCTGCAGCAATGATTACCTTTAAAAAATTGTTTAAATTAAATAAAATATCAAAAAAAAAAAATATATATATATAAACTTACTACACTAGTTGTACCATCACCAACTTCTTGATCTTGTAATTGAGCCAATTCAACAAGTACTTTTGCAGCCGGATGTTCAACTTCAAGTAATTTAAGAATTGTTGCACCATCATTGGTTATAGTTACATCCTAAATTAGATGTATTTTTATTTCAATAAATATTTTAAAGCAAAAAACAAAAAAAGAAAACAAACTTACTCCTATATCATCGACAAGCATTTTATCAAGACCAAGTGGACCTAATGATGTTCGAACAATGTTTGCAATAGTCATAGCAGCTAGAACTATTTAATTAAACGAGAAAAATATGATGATTATATTTTTATTAAATTTATACTCACCATTTTGAGTACGAACTGAATCGCCTAGATATTACAACAAGAAAAAAGAAAAAAGAGTATGCTTTCTTTTTCTTTTTTGTTTTAAAAACTAAATGTTAATACCTGTAATACGTTCTCCACCGAGTGATAATGCAGCTTGAGCCATTTGATGAAAGAAAAAATGAATGAATATTGATCTAAAAATATAGAAATAAAAGATATGAATTCACTTTACACTAACTGTGAATCGGTCGGTTGTCAAAACAACGTTCGATGACTGTTTGTTTACGAAATTTTTTTTTTCTATTCCAATGCTTTTTTTTTCTTTCTTAATTTGTTCTCAAGGATCCAAAAAAAAAGAATAGATAATCTTTACAAATAATATCTGTACATCCAGTAAGATAGATTTCATGAACTTTCTGAAAGAGGTCACTATTATCATGATGAAAAATTTAATTGAAGGTACAAACGCATGTCATATGGTATCCATTTATATTTACTCTATTTATTTCTCCGTTTATCGGTTGAAATTGTTAATGTAGGAACGAAAAAGAAAAATTCCTATAAAATCATTTGGACTCTTACAATTGAAATCTAAATCTCTAGTTAAGTTTTTTTTTTTCTATCAATCAATTGTAACAAAGTGGACCTTCTTGTTCATCCATCCATATCGACTGATACATCATTATCATCAGGAAAAAATGATGTCAAGTTCTCCTCCACTTCATTCTCATAGTCCAACATCAAATGGTGCTTCATCATCAAATAGTGGTGGCCCATCATCAGATGCATGTAATGGAATAGTTGCTAATCTTTTATGTCATCGACAACGAACGAATGGTGAAAGTGAAACCTTTTCAAAGCGAGCTATTGAAAGGTAAAAATAAAGAAATCAATTAAAAAGAAAAATATGAAGAGTTTTCTTTAGTTTGGTAAAAAAATTGAAAGATAAAAAAGATGAACTTGATGCGTTAGTAACAGCCGTTACATCTGGTGGACAAATACCAACTAAATGTGTTACTATTCAACGAACGCTCGATGGAAGATTACAGGTTTGACATTTCGAGTGCATTTTGTTTTTCTATCGAACAAAAACAAGAAAACCCATTTGCCTTTGTGTAATTTAGGTGGCTGGTCGTAAAGGTTTTCCTCATGTAATTTATGCTCGTATATGGCGTTGGCCTGATTTACATAAAAATGAATTAAAACATTTAAAAATTTGTCCATTAGCATTTGATCTTAAACAAGAATATGTTTGTGGTAAGTTAAAATAATACTTTTTTTGTTTTTTGATTATATAATTTTTCTTTTCTAGTAAATCCATATCATTATGAACGAGTTGTTTCTCCTGGAATTGGTAATTAATTAATCATTGAATTTTTTGTTTTAAATTAAAAGTCTAATGAATCTTTATTTTAAGATTTAGCAGGAATGCCACTTGTACCACGTTTTCAATTACTTGGTCATGGTGATCCATCATCATCAAATGATCGTGATATATATTCGACAGCAGATGGATATCGTTTTTTAAAAGGTGATTAAGAATATTATTCTCTTAATAATTTTTTCAAGCTAAAAAAAAAAGATCTTTACAGATTATAGAGATGATCAAAATTCTCCACAACCTCTAGGTGCTATTCAACATCAAACACCTGATACGACTAGTCCCAGTCCTCCACATCTATATAATACTAATGGAACTGCTGTTACAAATACAAATGGTTTTCCACCAGCAATGATTCCACAAGGTAAAATAAATATTAGAATTTTTGAATTAAATTATTTTTGTTTTATTAAGATGCACCTGTTCCTTTATGGGCGCAGCCATCACCAGCTGCAGCTAGTTTATGTAAGTATTTGATTTTGACTGTTTTTCTTTTCTATAAAATGATTTTAAATTATTAATTATAGGGCAACCACATCCCCTTGTTCCTACTAATGGTTTGAGTGTACCACCTATTCAACCATTAGCATTAATTAGTAATTTTGGTGAATATTGGTGCAGTATAGCATATTATGAACGTGATATACAAGTTGGTGAAACATTTAAGGTGCCAGATACATTTAAAGAAGTGACTATTGATGGTGGAATGGATATGGCTACTGTTGGTGATCGATTTTGTTTGGGTCCATTAAGTAATGTTCATCGTACAGAAGCAAGTGAAAAAGCACGGTATGATATTTCTTTCTTTTTCTTTTAATGATTAATAATGAAAAATTTAAATAATAGACTATATATTGGAAAAGGTATTCGTGTTGAATGTCGAAATGAAGGTGATGTATGGATACGATGTAATAGTGAACAAGCAGTTTTTCTTCAATCATATTATCTTGATCGTGAAGCTGGTCGTGCACCAGGTGATGCTGTTCATAAAATTTATCCTCAAGCTTGTATTAAAGTATGTGTTTGTATGAAAGAAAACAAAGCCAGTTTTTCAATTGTATCTATTCATAATTGAATTTTTAAGGTATTTGATTTACATCAATGTTTTACTCAAATGGATCAACGTGTGAAAATAGCTTTACATGCACGAATACAACAACAAACTCATGGACAAACAATGTCATTACCAACTAATTTAAGTGTTGATGAATTACGACGTTTATGTGTGTTACGACTTAGTTTTGTTAAAGGATGGGGACCTGATTATCCAAGGTAAGATTTAATTCTTTTGAAATTTATCAATTAGTTTTTTTTGCTTGTTATAATAGACAATCAATAAAAGAAACTCCATGTTGGATTGAAATTCAAATTCATCGTGCACTTCAATTACTTGATGATTTATTTAATTCAATGAGTCATCAATTGACAAGTGCTGTTGTGACAGCTTCATCTTCTATATCATCAATTCCATCGATGATTACAAATAACAACAGTAATTTATCATCTAATACTATTAAAATAGAACCAACACATTCTTCATATAATAATATGGACAATTGAACGAACTTCATTCTCATTTGTTTTTTTCCCCTTTGTTATGCATTTAATTTATTTTAACGAAAAATTTTTGTTGTTGTTTTTTTTTCTTGTTTTCGACTTCAATACACCGACACATTTATTTATTGATGCTTATTTATTCTATGTGAACGATAAAGTATGCCTGTTTTACAAAAAGACATGTACAGAAAATTCTTTCTCTTCTTTTTTGTCCATTAGCAATATTTCCTAAATTTTGTTTGTTTTCCTTGTGTGACTTATGGCGTGGCTAACTTCATTGTGATTTCTTGTTTTCATTTCTATTGTGTAGACATTTCTGTTTCTCTTTGATTATTGTTATCTTTTCTACATATTCGTTTTTGTTTAAAGACAAATAACAAATTATTCTTTACATTCGTTTCCTCTCATTGGTTTCCTTGGTTTTTTCAATAAACAAAAACTTTGCTTTTTTTTTTTCTTGTTTCTTTTTTTTTCATTGCGTAATTTATGTTATACTTTTCTTATCAATGTCTGCTTTTCTTTATTGATATTTTGAGTCATTGATGATTCATGTTTTATTGTATGTATATATTACTAAGGATGATTTTAGATTTTGTTTAAATAAAAATGGCACACGGAATTTCAAATGATGATCCAACAAAAAAAGAACATGTTGATGCACCAGAAATACTTGATAAAAAACTTGATCAATTAGCAGATTGGATTCGAAATGCTAAACATTTTATTGTATTTACAGGTTAGCTAGTAATATATAAGAATATTTCTATAGTTGACGTAAATATATCTATGATATAGGTGCCGGTATATCGACATCAACTGGGTAAGTTGATTTTTCAAGTATTTGAAAAATATTGAGTATACTTGTTTTAATTAGTATTCCTGATTTTCGATCGAGTATGAATACAATATTACCAACAGGACCTGGTGTATGGGAACTTCGAGATCATCCCGGTGCAAAACGTGCACCAAATGCTCGTACAACATCATCAACAAAAGCTATTCCATCAGTTACACATATGGCTCTTGTTGAATTAGCTCGTCGTAATCTTCTTCATTTTGTTGTTTCACAAAATACTGATGGTCTTCATTTACGTTCTGGTTTATCATCAACATTATTAGCTGAATTACATGGAAATTCAAATTTAGAAACATGTAAAAAATGTCGTACAAAATATTTACGTGATTATCGTACACGTACGGCTAACAAAGTTCATGAGCATGCAACAACTCGAAAATGTACGAAATGCAGTTCAACACTTTATGATTCAATTATTAATTTTGGTGAAAATCTACCTGAATATGAATTAGAAACAAGTTTTGATCATGCAGAACGTGCAGATGTTTGTCTTGTCTTAGGTTCATCATTACGTGTAACTCCAGCAGCTAATATTCCAGAACGAGTTGGTGAACGTGGTGGAAAATTAATTATTGGAAATTTACAATTAACTCCATTAGCAAATTTAGCTAAATTAAATGTTCATGCATTGTGTGATGATTTAATGCGAGGATTAATGGCTAAATTAGATATTCCTATACCAGAATGGGAACTTCATCGACGAATACGTATTACAATTAAAGATCAAACTTTATCAATAATGGGTCTTGATCTTAATCAAGATATAGCTTATACACTTTTTTCAACAATAAAAATATCAGTACGAGAAGGAACTGAATCAAAATATGATTCAAAAGAGATTAAAGGTGTAGAACCAATTGAACATAAAATAAAAGTCAATAATCCAAATGATAAAATGAATGTTTATGTTGAATTAAATTGGCAAGGACATTACAATGAACCAACGTATACAATTAGAATTCCTTTTACGAATTCGTCAAAAGAAGTACACCTGTTTTATAATCCAAAAACACGCGGTTGGAGAGAAGAGTAATATACCTGTGATTATTTGTTTTTAATCAAGATATTTTTTTATTTTTTTTTTTTGTAAATTTCTTTTTCTTTTTTTTTTCATAAATACAATTCTTGTTTTTCATAATTAACGTCAATTTAATATGAAATCGTTTTACTTTATATTTACAGATCGTTTTAATCTATTTATTAATTTTTATTTTTTGTTTCGAAATTTATTATTGAAAAAAAAACTTTTTTTTTTGAGGAGAATATTATTTATGGGTTCAAATGTATCACAACCACCAATTGAATTAAGTGCAGAAGATATTGAATTTATTTCAACTAAGGCTAATATTGATCATGAAAATGTGCAAGTTTGGTATGAAAAACTTAAGGTTAGTCATATGCATTAAGAAGAGTTTTTCTTGATTATTTTTTTTAATCTCAGGCTGCTTGTCCAAATGGGAAAATTTCTAAAACAGATACAGTGAATTTCATACGAAGTATAAATAGTGGTAAAGAAGAGCAAATTCAAAAAATGGCAATAGATATTCATAAAGCATTTGACACTAATAATGATGGAATTGTTGGTAGGTTTAATTTTCTACTATAGTCCATTGGTCTTCAATTCAGGTTGAAATTTCGATTTTCTTTTTCAGTTTTTATGTTGTTTGCTCTTTTCTATTTTCTGTATGCCACAAAAGATATTTATTATGTGTTTTGACTATTCTCATATAGATAACACGATGTGCTACAAATAACCCCATTTTAAAAGGCAATAGTTATTAATAAATAGAATTGATGACTCATTTTATATTCATTCATGATACTTGCCTTATCTTGATTTTTTTATGATCGTCGGAAATATTTCTTATATTTTTCTTATTTGAAAATTTGCTTATACATAGTAGCTATTGTTTTGCCAATAGTGATTTAACTAATTGTTTTTTTTGGGGGGATTCATTTACAAACTGAATGTTTACTAACGATGAGATTGAATATGATGACTATTGATTGAGATAATGGTCTGAAGAAGAAGTATACTTATTCATAAATGCTGGAATAGCTGATTAATGATAATTCTTTGCCAAACAAATCGATACATCATATTAAGAATGCAAAGAATTATGGAGAAGTCGACAAAAAAAAAGAAAAACATGAACATGTTGATATCAATATAGAAGAAAATATTTATATTAAATAACTTTCATTAGACACAAATATTGGAAATAGCACTTTTGCACTTACTCATTAGAGTACTCGATAGAAATTAAGGATATTACTTTTCTCTAAAAGCCCATTGTCATCTATGTCAAATATATAAATTTGGAAAGTGTATATCGTACGTTTTTTTCTCATACATATCTTCTTTCAACCTTTTCTTAAATCTAATTTTATGATCTGTTAGTAATATTATACCATTATATAGTTTATAGTATCTCTCTAGCAAACATATAAAAAATTGTGGTTAAATAATAAAAATTTGTTCCAGAAGAAATAACTAAATAAACTCTTACTCAACCTGAATTTGAGACTAAAGAAAGATAATTGTTTATTTTTTCGGAAAAATTATGAAAATTTTAAATAGATCAACGTGAATTTTTAATTGGTTTTGCTTTAACATCTACGGGTAGTGTTCGTGAAAAGCTTAAATATGTCTTTCGAACATATGATCATGATAAAGATGGTGTTATTAATAAAAAAGAAATAGACCGAATGGTTAAAGTATGTTATTAATATTTTAACTGTTAGAATTAGTTTATTGTTTTTTTCTTTTTTGATTCTTAACATAGATTGTAATGAGACTTCGTGCAAAAGATGATCCAGAAAATACTGCACGTATTATTGATGACTTAAAAACATCACTTGAACATCTTAATGGAAGCAAAGATTTTGATGATATAAAAATAACATCACAAGATTTTATTCAATTATTAATGAATAATAAAGAATTATGTGAATTATTGTCACCATTCAATATAGAACAACCAAGAGAAATTATTGTTCAGCAATCATATTCTCGATCAAAATAATATTAAAAGCAAAAAGAGTAATAGTCAGTTAAATTATGCAAAAAAAATATGTATAAATTTGTTTATTTTATTCTGGTTATGTTCTCTATTTTCTTTCATTTCAATGCTTACCGTACAATAATGCAACAGTTTATCCCGGTTTTCCTGTCTCATGCTTTTTCTTCTTATATATATATATATATATATTTATGGCTTCATTTGAAGTCTTTTCTTTTGTTTGCACTTATTCTGCTTATGATAAGGATTATCGAGAGAAAATGTCTTTGATGAAATTCAAGCATCATATTATATTCAAGCTATTTGTAGAAGATATCAGATTGTATGTTTAATTCATTTTTACATTCATTTTTATGTTAATTTCTGTTAAATAAAGAAATTAATCGATATTTTAAATAGAATGCAATTAATTTTAATAAATAAATTTTTCTCTATTGAACAAATGGTTATGATCATTCAATTAACGTAAACTAACGTCTGCTATGTATTTCCTTTGAAGATTTGTTTTGTTTTAACTATGAAAGATGATCAAACTATTATCTTAAATTTACGAAGGAATTTTTTCAGATGTCAAATCGCTTTTCGACAGAGACAATGATCACCTGATGAGTGCTAGAAAATAATAGAAAATTCTGGAATGATTTGTTTTTTCGTGCCTTTATTCTTGAGATATCGAAGTTTTATTGAGTTTAAAAAAAAAATAACTGCGATGGTCACATGAAAAATAGACTTTGGAGTTTTGATTGCAAATTTCGTACGAACAAAGTTCTTCATGAAATTGTTTGATTGTACAAGTTTCAACTTTTCTAGCTTGTCCTTGCCAGAGATGTAGATATATGAATAAAATCTGCTTTTACACACATAAGAACATTTTAGATATTCCATAACTCAGAATAGGAGACCCTAAAAAAGTTACAATTTGTCCAATGAACTAATATCATTAAGAACTTTGTTTGTGCAAGGTTTAGAGTTGAAACTCGAATGTCGATTTCTCTTGTGACCACAGCTTTTTGTTGAAAAACTTAGTAAAATTTTGATATCTTAAGAACGAAGGTCTGAAAAACTAAAACAAAAGTTTTTATTTCTTTCTGTAAACAACGATGATATAATGTTTATAACATTCTGCAAGTTATCACAGAAAAGCAATAAACAAAACTAATGACAACTGTAATATATGAAAAATTAAGATTGATCGTTTATCTAATAAACTAATGAGTATATTTCAGCGATAAATGTCAATAATTCTCAACTTGAGTAATGATGGATTACTATCCATATTGACGTTTCATTGAGATGTTTCAGAAATAGTGATTTAGATATGTTCACATGTTTTTTTTCTTTCTCATTATTAATATACAGCTCGATGGAGAAATCAGAATATTAAAAAGTTTGGACAATAATTCATGTTCAGATTTAGAAATCATTTTTTGAATGTAGAGAATGAAATCATACTTGATTTTGTTAATAAAAAAAAACGTTTTATACAATAAATCTTTTTTAAAAATTTGTGTGGTCTTTTGTTTCTTATCGAAGAATTACAAAAAAAAATATCCGAAAGATAGCAATTTTTTTGCATTTTATATGCAACAATAATTTAGGTATTGTCTGCACCACGACGCATATGACATCGATAACATAATAAGGTACCATCTGCTAGTGGACAACAACCACCCAATACAGTTATTGTTTGTTCATCACTTAATTGACATTGACAATCCTAGAAAAATAATTAACATTAAAATAATCCAAAATTTATATTCATCATTACTTCGCATCGATAACATTCAACATGAAAATTTTTATTCATAGCAATCACACGAGTTGTTTCATCGGAACCCTGTTCAATATACAAAAGACAAATTCTTTTTTTTTTCTTTTTTTAAATCTGTTTATTTTCATACTTCTCCTGGACAGATTGGATAAGCACATTTAGCACATCGTGAAGCATAGGTACTGAAATGTAGAGTCATAAGAACAAGAATATTGACGAACATGAAATATCTTACTTATGATAATCGTATAGACAAAACAAACGTTGTTCCTTATCAATAGTAAATGGAAGACCGTCAAGGCACTCATTGCATAGTGAGCAACGAAAACATCCGGGATGATAAGTATTACCAAGTGCTTGGAGCATCTTTAATGGAAGAAAGAAACTTTATTTAAATAAAAACATTTTCTAACAAATAGAAAATACTTTGTCCATGATAAGATGATCACATATTCGGCATTTTTCTACAGTTTGTTGAAAACCAGTAAACTAAAATAATTCAATAAAAGAATTATTTCAAAATGCTATTATCATTTAATATTGAAATAATTCCTATTAGTAATTCATATATATATTTCTTACCAAATAATCCTCTTCACAATAGACTTGATCATGTACACGATAGAATGCTTTTCCTCGTAATGTTCGAGAACATACAACACATTTAAAACAATCATTATGATAAAGTTCACCCATAGCTTGACAAGCTTCAGATGAACCCGTCACAGATTGACCACATTTAGTACATTGTCCATAATATTCACCAACTGTTGCTTCAGCTTCAAGTTCTTTTTCTAAATGTAATGTAAGTGCAGCTAATTTTCGTTGTACATCATGCACACTAGACAAAATATTGCCATCAGTACGAGCTGTTGGCATAAGAGTACTAAATGGTATTCGAGTACGAGGTGGACGTAAATTTGGTGTTCGAATAGTAATTCGAGAAAAGTCATGTGTTCTATGTGGATGTTGTTGTTGATGGTGATGTTGAGAATGAGGATGAAGACGACCATTGACTGTTACATTAAACCTAGGTCGAGGTAAATGTAAAACAGGTCTTTCTTGATTAATATACAATGTACTAGAATTATGAAATGGAGCAGGAGATAAAGAAGATTGTTCTTGTACTCGATTTATTGGAACATAATTCATATCGAATTGTTGTTCAAAATTAATTATACGATTGTCAATGGAAGATTCAAGTGATAAATGTATTGGATAATTAGTAGTAGATGAAGCAACATCATAAGGAGAATTTGAAAGACCAATTGCTGAACTCGAATTTTGGTGAGGAGATGTTGAAGGATAAATAGGTGATGATATTTTCGATTGTGGCGAACCCAGATTGGCGATGATAAATGTTCGCTAGTAAGAGCAACATTCGATAGGCGTGCGTACAAACGTGTTGATGCGTTTTTTATGATAATGCCAATACATCCGATGCGATCTTTCTTTTTTTTTGTTTTCTTTTCTTTTCTTTTCTTTCTTTCTTTCTTTTTATCTACCAGCACTATTGGGACACATCAAAACTTACTGATCATGTAAAAGAAAGAAAAACTATCGTTTCTTACTACAACTAAGGCAAAGGATGCATCATAGTCCTCTAGCACAAGTTAATCTTTTGTCCATATCTACAGTTAGTAATAGTATCAACCAATCTTTTTCTGTCGCGTTCTTAGATCTTTTTTCTTTTTCTTCTTGTATTTGCTACTCAACTGCTGTTGTTAATTCATATTTGATTGTTTCTTACAGAGAAAAGTAAAGGAAAATAAGGAGTACTTGGCTGTGTAATGTCTATCTAACTACGCAACACAAAAAGGAAAACAGAAAGGTCAATATTTTTGTTCTCATGTATATCATAAACGGCTGTCTTTTCATGTGATGTTTCTCTATTCTATTTAGTAATAAGCTTTCTAGAATTTCCATCGTCAAAAACTTGTACAGATTTTTCTTGAGAAATATTTTGTTTTTTTTTTGTAAAATATCTGTACTAAATATTTCATTTTTGTTTTCACTACGATTTGAACCTTTTGAAAAGCATTTCAGTTTCTTCAATACGAATTAAATCACAATTTTTCTAATTAAAAAAAAAGGGCTCATTATATTATGGTATGAATAAGACAATATCTAAAGTCAAAATGTTGTCAAACAATCAATATCTAAAAACTATGGTAAGAAAGATCATACATCCAAAAACGATTGGTTGAGATAACTGGAATATGAAATGAAAAATACTCCTGTACGACGATATACAACAACTATCGCATAGATGATTGACATAAAATAAAAGCAAGAAAACCAGTACTAACAAATTATATGTGCAAAATAGATGACAGTCGATTGCTCTACCATTGAGTCTTCTTAAAAGTGCTTACCAAACAAGATCAGTAGGCGCAATATTTCTATTAGTATTGTGATCAGAAAAAAGTTTTTTGGTAGTGAATAAATATGCACCAACTCGTCATGATTAAATAACAAGTTATTGTGTGCAATCAAAATTAAGTTTTATTCTATTTCTTACTTTAAGACTCGAATTTAAACTGGTTGAAAAATGTCTAAAACAACTCTTATATTTTGAATTATTTTATTGAAAATGATTTACTCAAAGCATTCAAATACGGACTTCTATAATTTTCCCAATTTAACTATCAAATTAAGATACGAACGTTATCATAAGTTTAGTTATTTGAATATTTTTCATACAAACTATTTTATTCAACATACAATGGTTTAGAACACTTTTAATGTTTCATCAATTTTTGATTATCAATTAGATATTTTAAAACTCTTCTATAGATTATTCAATGCAGAGTTTATTGGATTACATTTCATTAAAAGTTAC